TTTATAAAGAGCCCAATTTTATATTAAGTCTGGTTTTTTTGTAATCTCTTTTTTTAAAAAAATAGAATATGGAAAAAAGAGATACAGAGATTACTATCAAATATCTGTTTTTATTGAAACTAAAAAGTTTATCTAATTAAAAACACAAACCAAAAAGAAAAGAAAGATAGAGAGAGGGATTATAAAGGGAAAAGAGAAAGAGAGAGAAATTAATGAAAGAAAACAAGAAAAGGAGAAAAAGTTAAGAAAATAAAGAACTTCCAGTTCTTCACCTGTCAGCTATATATAAGTTATTCAATTCATTCATTCCAATATAACACCCAACAAAACTACTTTCTATGAACCAACAATATCTTCAATCCACAAACCCAAATGTCGCTAATTCATTTTCTTTTTTCATGCAAAAAGTCGATAAGTGGCTTTCATTCTTTAGCAAATGTTAGCAATAGCTTTTCTTTGATAAAACATGTCAATTCTGCCGTCTCAGCTAAGTCCAATAATTTTAACAACCATTCCTCCATTGTTGGTAATGACATGTCTTTCCATTTTTGCGCATATAAAAGTCTCACCACCATAATCATATATTGGAACCTATGATTTTTGCAATCGCAATGAGAGTGGGTTGGGGCATAGAAACTGGACTTCCTTTATGGAGAAACCGGGAACAAGAAGTATGGCGTACAACCACGCCTCGTCTTTGATGCCCTTTCCCTCCAAAGGATGTAAACTAAGCCCATCAGTTTTCTGAATGTACTGGTGCCAATTCCTGTTCAGAATTGTTTATCAGCTGAATTCGTGAGCCCTTACTGTGGTCCAGAGTGATTTACCATATTTTTTGCTCTATAAGACTCAGTTTTTCCCTCCTAAAAAGTAAGGGGAAATGTGTGTGCGTCTTATGGAGTGAATGCAAGCTGCGCAGCTATCCCAGAAGCCAGAACAACAAGAGGGATTGCTGCTTTCACTGCGCAGCGATCCCTCTTGCTGTTCTGGCTTCTGAGATTCAGAAATTTTTTTTTCTTGTTTTCCTCCTCCAAAAACTAGGTGCGTCTTGTGGTCTGGTGCGTCTTATAGAGCGAAAAATACGGTAGTCGGTGTGCATTTGTGGCACTAGCAGCGTCTCACTTCTTGAGAGCGCTCCACTTCCCAGATTTATGCCGGTGGAACGATTCAATGGGATTTCCAATAATCCAATGGAAAACAATATTGTAGGCTGGCCTTTAATAAAGAAAAATAAAGCACATTCTACTCTCGGCAGGCAAGGTGGCTATCGTGAGCATCCTTCTTTGCTCATCCCTTCCCCCACCAGAGAAGATGCTGACATTTCTACTTGTCCTGTTGATGAGCTTTCTGTGCCATAAGTAATGGGAGGTCTTGATTAATCCCTGCTGTGACTTGCTGGGGAGGCCATCTACTGCTGAGCAGGTTCTTAATCACCCCCTTTTTTTGCCAGATGCTGCCAAAGCCCATTACTGCTATCCCATAATCTCTTGCTCTTTCTGTGCTGAATGATGAGAGTAATTGGTCCTTGCCCTCACTTTTAACAAAGCCTCTTTACGTTCGGGCAGCTTATTATGGCGGCTTCTGGCTAAAATCTCTGGGGCCATCTTGAAGAAAATGCTGCAGGTAGTTGGGACTGTCAGAGGCGGAGAGAGAAGGTTTGGGGAGGTGGAGTGGGAGGCAGACAGATCTCGCATACTACAATGGGAGTGTTTCCTGCACAAGCACATCCCACTAAAATGGACAGAGCTTTACACAACCATTAGTATGTACTCACTAGAGATAGGCAGAGATCCCATTCTCATTTATAAGCCTCAAGTACCAACGTACGTGGGGACGCGGGTGGCGCTGTGGGTAAAAGCCTCAGCGCCTAGGGCTTGCCGATCGAAAGGTCGGCGGTTCGAATCCCCGCGGCGGGGTGCGCTCCCGCTGCTTGGTCCCAGCGCCTGCCAACCTAGCAGTTCGAAAGCACCCCCAGGTGCAAGTAGATAAATAGGGACCGCTTACTGGCGGGAAGGTAAACGGCATTTCCGTGTGCTGCGCTGGCTCGCCAGATGCAGCTTGTCACACTGGCCACGTGACCCGGAAGTGTCTCCGGACAGCGCTGGCCCCCGGCCTCTTGAGTGAGATGGGCACACAACCCCAGAGTCTGTCAAGACTGGCTCGTACGGGCAGGGGTACCTTTACCTTTACCTTTACCTTACCAACGTACGTTGGGTGAGCTCATGTCGTTTCTATGTGGAGAGAACCTCTTCACATAAGGGACCACATAACACCGGTCCTGAGAGATCTGCATTGGCTCCCAGTACGTTTCCAAGCACAATTCAAAGTGTTGGTGCTGACCCTTAAAGCCCTAAACGGCCTCGGTCCTGTATACCTGAAGGAGCGTCTCCACCCCCATCGTTCTGCCCGGACACTGAGGTCCAGCGCCGAGGGCTTTCTGGCGGTTCCTTCATTGCGAGAAGTGAGGTTACAGGGAACCAGACAGAGGGCCTTCTCGGTAGTGGCGCCCACCCTGTGGAACACCCTCCCTTCAGATGTGAAGGAAATAAGCAGCTATCCTATCTTTAAAAGACATCTGAAGGCAGCCCTGTTTAGGGATGTTTTTAATATTTAATGCTGTACTGTTTATAACATTTGATTGGGAGCCGCCCAGAGTGGCTAGGGAAACTCAGCCAGATGGGCGGGGTATAAATAATAAATTATTATTATTATTATTATTATTATTATTATTATTAGTCAGCTTCCCAACCTGAGTACTTGGAGGAGCAAAATAACCATGGCACCATTCCTCATACCTGATGAATGGTACATGTGTGCTCTTTCATTCCCGGAGATCAATACTACATCACAGCACCAAGTGTCCCTGTTTTCCAGAGACAGTCCCAGATTTACAGAAGCCCTCCCAGTTTTGGATTTGATCCTGGAATGTCCTGCTTTTCTTTTGGATGTCCCTATTTTCATCAGAGAAATGTTGGAGGGTATGGAGTTACATGACTCCCGAACCAAGGTGATAAGTAACTATACAACCTATAAGAAGACATCTGAAGGCAGCCCTGTCTAGGGAAGATTTTTTTAAAATGTTTCATGTTTTTGTTGTGGTTTTGTATATCCTGTTGGAAGCTGCCCAGAGTGGCTAGGGCAACCCAGTCAGATGGGTGGGGTATAAATAATAACATCATCATCATCATCATCATCATCATCATCATTATTTATTTAGTATTATTATTGAATAGGACATCCCTATTTTTATTGGAGAAATGTTGGAGGGTATGAGATTAATGGGATCCCCCCCCCATCTAGAGTTTCACAACCTTAGAATTAACTATTTGTGGCGAAATTTACGAAGGCTATCTTGCAGTCAGCAGTTCAAAGGAAAAACATGGTTCCCATTCTTGCTGTTCTCTGTCTTGTGAAGGGGTGGGGTGACTAAAAATCAGCCCTCCTGTCAAGGAAATATCTCATTACTCACCCAGTGTAAGATATTCCACCTTCTCCTCCTTTAGTTTCTCTTTTCATTCAGTGAAGCCAACAGCTCACACGTGTGTGTGTGTGTGTGTGTGTGTGTGTGTGTGTGTGTAACAAAGCATTAATAGAGAAGTGTAGCATAGTAACATACTGGCTGAGAGAAATGAAACACCTTGAGGTATGTGACAGTTAGCCTCTTTTTTGAAAAAAAACTGACAACCTGGAGGAGCCGGTTATAGATTCTAGATTCTACATTGCAGCATAAAAGCCCTGCCCACTAGAGGCCGGGTATTCTATTAATCAAATAAGGCTTCTCCAAACATTATCTGCATAACTGAACAACTTAGGGCAAGGTTTACCTCAGGAATTGCCTGAACCCTTATACCCGAGTTGGCGAGGCTCACTTGATAACAAGAAATAGTATCGTTGGCCCATTATTGTGGGGCACTTTGTCACTAGAGGTTCAGCGGGCACTTTCTGTTTAAACTTTTGAATGCCTGCAATATGCTGTTGTGGTTTGAGTGTCAGACTAGGACCTGAGTGGCCAGGGTTCAAATCCCCACTCAGGTACGAAGCTCCTTGGGTGACCTTGGACCTCTCGGCCGAACCCACCTAACAGGGTGGCTGTGGGGATGAAAATGGGAGGGAGGGAACCATCTACGTCACCTTGATCTGCCTGGTGGAAATGTGGGGTATAAAAGGCAATAAAATACAATACATAAACCTTTTCCTATTCTGCCAGGCCTATGCAGCCAACTTAGAATACGTCTTTCTGCACTGGTTAATTGATGTCTGTAGTTAACTTTTTTCTGCGGTGTTACGCATTTTTTGTTGTAAACTGCTTTTGTGAATGAAATAGCAGCCTATTAATATTTTAATAAGTAAAATAAAACCATTTTGTTTTAGAAATTTTTCCAAGAACGGGATGACTGGGCAACATAATGCAATTTCAAAGTAACTCACTCACAAGAATGCTTCCTTATAGGAAGTTATTTTGTGAAAAATAAACCATGAAACCAAGTAAAAATATATATACATTTTTGCCCTGATCACTTTTGCCTCTGGCCCTGCCCATCACTGCCATGTGGCCCTCAGAAAGTTGCGCAGAAGAGAATTTGGCCTTCAGGCTGGGGAAAAAAATTCCTTCTAAATTTAAAACATGGAGTTAGAAAGAACCACAGGGATCATCTAGACCAACCCCCTGCCATGCAGGAATATTTTGCCAATGCGGGCTTTGAACTCACAGCCCTGAGATTAAGTGTCTCGTGCTCTACCTACTGAGCTATCCCTCGTTCCCGGCTCCTTGTTCTCTAGCCTTGTTTGTGGACTCCTGCAATGTAGGGTCAGTTCGCAATCTCTCCCTCCCTATCTCAGCATGTCTCTAAATCAAATGTGGCGCTGAAATCCTCACCTCTGACTTTTTGCTATCGCTTTCAGGGCCACGTAGCACGGCTTACTCCCGCTGGATTTCTTACCTCAGCACTGCTTGGGAAGCTCTGCTCCTGCTCCTCACGTTTCCCCATTCAGCTCCGAATCCATCTCGCCCGCTCTTTCCTCCAGGATGTCCCAGGCCGGAGCAGTCATGTGCTTCCACCCTGAGGGAGACCACGCCATGTCCCCTCAGCGCTTTGCCCGAGAGCTGAAGAGGAGGCCTTGGCTGTCGCCGTCCAAGAATGCGGAACCTGCTGCCTTGAACCCCCAGCACTGCCTCACGCCCAACCTCAACGCCGGCAGGATCCACCTCCTCCGCAAGGGGCTCACCGTGGAGGCCAAGCGCTCCCAACTGGGCATGTATAACAGCACCGGCTCCCTCATCCGGAAGGTCACGGAGATGGGTTACCTTGGCAACAGCAACTGCCCCAACTCAGGGAGAGTGACAGCTCCATGCACACCGCTGAGGAGCAGGCCTCCGCCCTCGCTGGGCTCCCCAGGCAGCCGCATCCCCCTGGTGGCCTCAGCCCCCGGCGGTCAAAGCTCTGTGGTGACCTTCCGCTTCATCGAGAAGGCCAGCGTCAAAACTTTAAATGGCCTCCCTCTGGTGGAGTCCAGGAAGGAGAGTGGCTTGAGCAGGAGTCTGGAGCTCGGGGAAGCCCTCCATTTCGGAAGCCCGGCAAGGAAGCAGGGAAGCGGTTGCCCCGTGGCCCAAAATCCGCATTCCCCACAGCGTAACGCCGCAGTGTCCCCGGAGCCTGTCGCTCAAGAGGCAAGCGAGAGCATCAAAGTGAAGACGAATGAGTCCGTCTTGGCCGGTACTGGCCCTGCTGTTGAACAGGCACCACTGGCCCTCAGTGGTAAAGGCCAGGAGCACCTTAGTCACAAGCTGAAGCTGGAGACATCTGCTTCAGACCCTCTCCTGGCTGGAAACAGGTTCCTTTTGGGAGCGCAGTCTTCCCTGAGCCTGGGCAATGGGAGCCCACATTCTCTCAATGCCAACTGCCTCTCCAGCTCCCTTACCAACGGCATGATCAGCCCTTCCAACGACATCTCAGCGCTACGGAGAAGCCCACAGAGCGGGGAGTCCCAGTACCAGGTACTTCAGCATCCCTTCATTGCCAGGAATGGCATCTCCTCTGCCCCTTCTTCCTACATCTTCCTCCATCCCATGCAAGGAACCTCACAAATAAGCATTTTCTCTCTCTCTCTTCTACAGGGGAGTCCATGGGCATATTCCCGAGAGAGCTCTGCCCACGCCCAGCGCATCGCCAAGGCTAAGTGGGAATTCTTCTATGGCTCCCTGGACCCTCCTGGAACAGGTAATGGGCTCGATGCAAGTACTGGTAGGGGAGAGCGTTTGCATATATGAAAATCAGCATCTCTTCAGCATTCGACCCTCAAAAACGATCTCCTGGCTCAGGTTCCACATGCTGTGGTGGATGCTGTCACAGCAGGGGGGCATTTGGATGCTGGCGGTTGCCGACTTTTATAAAGCAATGTCCATTGTGGCTGCCAGATTCAGACAACGCTGGAACGGTAGACGTGCACCCTTAGATAGCAAGCCTGAAATGCAAAATGGGCTCTCATTAGCTGGGCCGCTGGTTGGGTGGTGATAAGCTGAAATTCAACAAGGAAAATATGTAAGGAGAGAAGAATCAAATTCATGGGTGTGGAACGAGGCACAGGTAGCTATGGGAAAGACCTGAGATGAACAGGGGGACCCTCGTCCAACCCTTTGTAGGTGTGGAAATGTGAATTGCAGCATTCACTTCCTATGAGGAAGTGGACTTACCATTTGCTAGAGATCCTGAGAAACTCCTCCTTTTTTCATAGGTGCATCCCTGGGATGTTGCATGCAAAGGCCTGAGGGCTAGGAAAGCTGGAAGTGGTTTTCCATAGTGGTTTTCCAGCTATTTTTCCTGGGATATATGCCCCAGAAGCAACTGATACACTCTATACTTCCGGCTGGAGGTGCTCCTCATTCAGATTCTGTTACAGCTTTTTAGGTTGTGATCCACCCTAAGATCTACAGGTATAGGGTGGTATACAAATTTTAACAACAGCAACAAGCTTTGTAAAAATGGAGAGAGGTGCTCTTTCCCCCTGGAATACATTCCTTGCAGTGTCTGGATAGACAGCGGTTGCGTTCGCACATCATGCTAAGACAAACCGTGGCTTAGTGCTGCCTCTTGAAGAGGAATCTGCAGCCACTTTGCTCCTTCCTGGACTTTTTTAATAAGTGCAGCAGATAAGCCAAGGTTTGGTTTAGTGCATCGTCTGAACCCAGAGCATGGCTAAGCATCTCTCCACCTTAACCACAATCCATAGCCAGGGTTCCTCCTATGCTTACAAGAATGATTCTGAGTCTGGGCAAAATGCTAAGTTAACTGTAGCCTAGCTGCCATCCTAGGGACGCGGGTGGCGCTGTGGGTTAAACCACAGAGCCTAGGGCTTGCTGATCAGAAGGTCGGATCCCCGCGACAGGGTGAGCTCCTGTTGCTCAGTCCCTGCTCCTTCCAACCTAGCAGTTCGAAAGCACATCAAAGTGCAAGTAGATAAATAGCTACCGCTCCGGCAGGAAGGTAAACGGCGTTTCCATGCGCTGCTCTGGTTCGCCAGAAGCGGCTTAGTCATGCTGGCCACATGACCCGGAAGCTGTACGCCGGCTCCCTCGGCCAATAAAGCGAGATGAGCGTCGCACCCCCAGAGTCGGTCAGGACCGGACCTAATGGTCAGGGGTCCCTTTACTTTTTAGCTGCCATCCTGCACTAACCTCAAAAGTCAGGGGAGGAGTGAAGCAGGGATGAGCTACTCTCTGGAAGCCAACCCATTTGTGAAGTCACAGTAAGGCATACTCTGACTTAGCAGTGATATGCAAACCAGGTCACTGTGCGGTGAGGAAGGGAAATATTAACTAATAGATTGACAGTGTTATATGAGAGGCCTGGTACTCTCCTGGTTTTGGGCCACAGTTCCCATAAGCTCCAGTCGGCATGGCCATGCTGGCAGGGGTTGATGGGCGTGGTAATTCAAAAGCACCAGGTGGGCACCAAGTTGGGAAAAGCTGGGCAAGAACCTTTCCTTGCATGCAGATGCTGTGAATGTGGGCAGACAAAAAAGGAAAAGAGGCTGCAGGCACAAAAGGGAGCAAATGGAAGCGTTTCCATCCCCAAAAATCTACCCATAAGCTTCCCAGCAGAGCAACACTTGTGAGTGATGCACATCTTTCTTGACTGCACCCGTACAAAGAACAGTCCACAAACATACAGCGACCAAGTGGAGCGATGTAAAAGAAAGGAATGGCCTCATCCCTGCACAACCTCAGTCGCCATGGAAGTATGTGACATGGCAGAGTGATTGCATGAACCTTCAAACAAAGAGGAGAGCGGGTGCTTACTGATAAGATATTTTTATCAGTAAGCACCAGAGCCTGCCTTGATTCCGCATGGTGCTTCTTAACCCCCTTCCTGCAGGCTGATTGTGTGAAGCTGCCTAATGCGGCATCCATAAATATCGGCCCATCTAGCCTAAGAGTGACTTATAAAGTCTCAAGTAGAGATTATAAAAAATTAAAAAAAATAGTCCAGTAGCACCTTAGAGACCAACTTAGTTTGTTCTTGGGACAGTGGTACCTCAGGTTACATACGCTTCAGGTTACATACGCTTCAGGTTACAGACTCTGCTAACCCTGAAATAGTGCTTCAGGTTAAGAACTTTGCTTCAGGATGAGAACAGAAATCGTGCTCCGGCCGTGCGGCGGCAGCAGGAGGCCCCATTAGCTAAAGTGGTGCTTCAGGTTAAGAACGGACCTCCGGAACGAATTAAGTACTTAACCAGAGATACCACTGTATAAGCTTTTGTGTGCATGCACACTTCTTCACATACACTGAAACAGAAGTCACCAGACCCTTTGATATAGTGGGAAGGTGGGGTGGGGTATCGACTAATTGCAGTTGTTAACTGTTGTCAGCAGGTTTACCATACCCATTGAGCCAATCACCCATCTCCTACTACCCTCCTGAGAAAAACCCCACCCCACCCTCCCACTATATATAAGGGTCTGGTGACTTCTGTTTCAGTGTATCTGAAGAAGTGTGCATGCACACGAAAGCTTATACCTAGAACAAACTTAGCTGGTCTCTAAGGAACTACTGGACTATTTTTTTATTTTTTATTTCGACTGCATCAGACCAACACAGCTACCTACTTGAATCAAGTAGAGATGATTATTGTTGTTATTATCTCTTTAGTTATACCCCGCCTTTTACCCTGACAGGGACTCAAGGCGTCTTAAAGATAAAATAAGAACAACTAAATATGGGGGTCGTTAAAAAACAACTCTGTGTGTGTCTGATAGCTATTAAAAACATATAGATAATTACAGTGGCACCTCTGGATACGAACGGGATCCGTTCCGGAGCCCCGTTCGCATCCAGAAGCAAACGTAATTAGTGATGTTACGTCTGCGCACGCACGCGCCACTTTTTGCCACTTCTGCGTGACATCATTTTGAGCCTCTGCGCATGCGCAAGCGGAGAAACCTGGAAGTAACGCGCTCCGTTACTTCCGGGTTGCTGCAGAGCACAACTCGAATGCACTCAACCTGAAGCGCATTCAACCCGAGGTATGACTGTACCATAAACACAACCTTGCACCAGCCCCCTCAGTAAAATCAGTCGGTTCCCAAATGCCAAAAGGTCTTCAGCTGTCGGCAGAAGAATAGCACAGAGGGAATAGCAGCCCCCACGGAGAAGGCCCTTTCTTGCATCTCTACCAAGCATGGCTGTGAGGGTGACAGGGCTGAGAGAAGCCCCCCCCCCCCCGCCGCCATTCTCAGAGACCCAGGCAGGTTTGTATGAGGGAATATGGTCTTTCAGTGAGCTAAGATGTTTTTCCCAGTCTTGAGCTATTTAAACCATGGGTAGGCAACCTAAGGCCCGGGGGCCAGATGCGGCCCAATCGCCTTCTCAGTCCATCCCGCAGACAGTCCGGGAATCAGCGTGTTTTTACATGAGTAGAATGTGTCCTTTTATTTTGAATGCATCTCTGGGTTATTTGTGGGGCATAGGAATTCGTTCAATATTTTTTTCCAAAATATAGTCTGGCCCCCCACAAGGTCTGAGGGACAGTGGACCGGCCCCCTGCTGAAAAAGTTTGCCGACCCCTGATTTAAACAAACAAACAAACAAACAAACAGTAATGAGAAAGAGATGAAGAAACTGCAAGATGAAATGCGTATCTGTTAAGACAATTAACACTGACATTGAAGAATTTGGGATGGACCTTGATGAATGCTAGAATTGGTTTCAGTGGACTAAAATGATTAAAAGCAAGAAGGGGAATTTGCAGATATGAAGAACTAATTAGGAAAAGGAACAATAAATGTTTTCCTTCCTATCAATCTTTTCAATTATATCAGTTAGTCTATTAGAAAACATAAATATAAAAAATGGGGGGAAGTATTTCAGAAAGAGCTTCTGCTTATGATTTTTCCATCACCCCCACAGTCCTTAAAAGATTTAACAGTCTGTGAAATTGGAGTTAGAACTCTGATTACTCCCAAGCACTATTCAATTTCAAGGAAGTTATGACGATTGAATAATGTGTGTTTTAGCTGATACACAAATAATCACGAAGTTAAAAGGTGGAATTAAATTCTTATTTGAGATAAATTAAATTCTTATTTGAAGGAGGGGGGAATATATAACACCGCATATGCAGATTGTTAAAATATATTAGGGATACAGTGGTACCTCGGGTTAAGTACTTAATTCGTTCCGAAGGTCCGTTCTTAACCTGAAACTGTTCTTAACCTGAAGCACCACTTTAGCTAATGGGGCCTCCCGCTGCTGCCGCACCGCCGGAGCACGATTTCTGTTCTTATCCTGAAGCAAAGTTCTTAACCCGAGGTAATATTTCTGGGTGAGCGGAGTCTGTAACCTGAAGCGTATGTAACCTGAAGCATATGTAACCCGAGGTACCACTGTACCTTTAAAGTAGCGCTGGAAAAGGTGCCCATACAAGGGCAAGTTGCAGGCAGATTTCGTTGACTTTTTTGGAGGGGGGCAAAATTCTTCATATGGCTTAGGCAGGCCCTCCAGATGTTTTGGGACTACAACTTCCAACATCCCTAGCTAGCAGGACCAGTGGTCAGGGATGATGGGAATTGTAGTCCCAAAAACCTCTGGAGGGCCAAGTTTGGCCATGCCTGGCTTAGGGGTGCTTATCATTGCAGAAAGTGGTGGTGGTCTCCTCTCCTCTCCCCCACCCCTTGCTTTCTCCATCTGTCTCTAAGCTGTCACTATTTTGTGGGAGGGTTTCAAGTTCACAACAGAAATTTGGGTTTGCTCAATTAAAGCGCACTAAAGCACTCTGTTGCTCTAGCACAACAAATTCACTATAAAAAGAAAGGACAAACTTTTTGCAGTTAGGAATGTGACAGGGAAATGCACTTAAAAGTGTGAGATGGACGATTGACCAATAGGAAGGTGTGGAAACACCCCGTGAACAAGCCAGGATGAATGTTCAATATGGCCAGACATAATCTAACCATTGCGTTAGCTCTGTGCAAAGCAAATTAGAATGAACGCTGAATAAACAGGTTGCCTGAAGTAAACCCCATCCCTCTCCTTTAAAAGTTTAAACTGTAAGAAAGAAAATCAGTGTCACTTCGGGAATATTCTGGGAGATGATGATGGCAGCCACCAAGAACAACTGTGCTCATGCAAATATAAAAAATACATCTTTGTCAAGAGTGGTAACTTTAAAAAACTATTTAAAGTAAGAGAGAGAAAGAAGCAAACCATTGTTGCTCACCCTACCCAATTCAAAACAGTCATCCCCACCCCAGCTTAAGGCATGTCTACTCAGAAATAAGTCTTACCATACACTTGGCAAATCAGGATGAAGGGATAGCTCAGTTGGTGGAGCACGAGACTTTTAATCTCAATGTCATGGGTTTGAACCCCATGTTGGGCAAAACATTCCTGCATTGCAGGGGGGGTTGGACTAGATGACCCTTGTGGTTCCTTCCAACCCTACAATTCTATGATTCCAACAGGTTCATTGGTGTATAACCTCCCCATAAACAAGTTGAATTGAATGCTCAGTAATGACCAGATATGGTCTGACCTCAGCATAAGCTTTGTGCAAGCAAATTGGGATTAATCTCAATAAATGGAGCCTTTAACAAATGCTAAACACTTTAGAATGTGGGGGAACCTGCCCCTTCCTTCCTTCCTTCCTTCCTTCCTTCCTTCCTTCCGCTGTCTGTTTTTGTTTTTCTTCTCAATTTTTCTCTTTGTCTGATTGGGATACACAGTCTGTACTGTACAACCAGAGGTGTTGACATATGGACGCGGGTGGTGCTGTGGTCTAAACCACTGAGCCTCTTGGGCTTGCCGATCAGAAGGTCGGCAGTTCGAATCCCTGAGACGGAGTGAGCTCCTGTTGCTCTGTCCCAGCTCCTGCCATCCTGGCAGTTCAAAAGCACACCAGTGCAAGTAGATAAATAGGTACCACTGTGGCGGAAAGGTAAACGAACGTTTCCATGCGCTCTGGCTTACATCACAGTGTTCCGTTGTGCCAGTAGCGGTTTAGTCATGCTGGCCACATGACTTGGAAAGGTGTCTGTGGACAAACGCCGGCTCCCTCAGCGCGAAAGCGAGATGAACTCCACAACCCCATAGTCACCTTTGATGGACTTAACCGTCCAGGGGTCCTTTCCCCCCTTTGTGAGTTCCATGATTCTCATGTAAGGCTCAGAGATCCAGCATCTGCCAGGACTTAGTGAGTAGTTTTTATTTGTAACCCGGGATCTCTCTATTCCAGGGATGCGTCCTCATAACACACCCGACCCTCCACCTCAGCAGCTCAAGAAATCCAGCCACCAGATTCAGCCAAAGCCAGATTGGACGGGACCCGAGCATAGCTTGTGCCACGTGGAGGTGGAAATTGAGATGGCTCCACCAGGCAGTGCAAAACCTGGAAACTGTGAAACGGGGATTATCCGCAGAACCATAAAGTACTCGGAGACAGACTTGGATTCTGTCCCTTTGAGGTGCTACCACGAGACCAACATTGATGATATCTTGGCTGAGAAAGATGAAGCGGATTCCGCCATCGAGAGCCAGAAAGACAGCGAGAGCAATCCAAGTTTCACGGGAATCTTGGGGAAAGGGTGTGCTGTTCCAGGAGACCCCTTTGCTCAGCACACAAGAGAAGATGATGACAAGTGTCTGAGAAACAAGACACAGGACATTGAAGATGACGAGGTATTCGAAGCCATCCAACAGCATCAGGAGAGGTGAGGGTCTCTCTGGACTGGTCAGTACCAAGCTTGTCCCTTGTAGTGGGCAATATTGTCTGGTTTTGTTCTTACAGAGGTTGAGATAGTAATAGTAATAATAATAATAGTAATAGTAATAGTAATAATAGTAATAATTTATTATTTATACCCTGCCCATCTGGCTGGGCTTCCCCAGCCACTCTGGGCGGCTTCCAAAAAAATATTAAAATACTGTAATACATCAAACATTAAAAGCTTCCCTAAACAGGGCTGCCTTCAGATGTCTTCTAAAAGCCTGGTAGTTGTTGTTCTCTTTGACATCTGGTGGGAGGGTGTTCCACAGGGAAGGCGCCACTACCGAGAAGGCCCTCTGCCTGGTTCCCTGTAACTTGGCTTCTCGCAGTGAGGGAACCACCAGAAGGCCCTCGGCACTGGACCTCAGTGTCCGGGTAGAACAATGGGGGTGGAGACGCTCAAAACAAAGCATAGGCTTTACTTGTTTGACTTAGTCTCTTCATACAGAGCTACCTCTTTCCTGTGAAGGCTGGGTTGGGTCTTGCCAAAGCTCATCTGGGGGACCTTTTCAGCCATTGAAGCTGGTGACAATTGTCATTATGAACTTCTCGGGCACAAAGTGGAGGCGGAGCGAAGCAGCTTCCCATTGTGTTGCTTCAATACTGCGACACTTTGGTGCTGCAAAGGCACTGGTTGTCTGCAATTAGCTGCAGCAAATTAGAAGAGCTGTTCCACACAGCATATTCCCGATAAAGCAAATCTCACAGTGTCCATTTCCATCGGCAAGAATCTATTATATATCCATTCAGATGTACATCCTTTTGGGCAAATGCCACGGTCTTCCAGCAGCTATCCCTTTGTTTTCTTCTTTCTTTTGAAGTAGCTTCTGTTTCTAGCACTTTGACAGCTTCCTTTTCACTCATATGGGTGATGTTCCTGAATCAGCCCTTGATTTCTCATGTGAGAGGAGTTCATTGGAATCTTCTTTGTCTAAACTCAAACATTAACCCAAAAGTAAAAGGGAGAGAGAGAAAATTGTGTCCTCTTTGAAGCCAGACCAATTGCTCATTAATTATTTCATTTTCAGTATCACAGTGGCAAAATTCAGCTCATAAAAACTAAATGACGATGATGATGATGATGATGATGATGATGATGATGAAGAACAATTGTTCTGGCCGCAAGGGGAAAGTACAATAATTAAACTTGTCCCTCTTTGAAGTTACTGGCTGACGGGCAGATTCAGGGAAATAAATGCTGGGTATGTCAGTGAACAGGAACCAACCACTTAAAGTGACAGAGGCTGGGGCAGAAAATTAAAGGTTCTGGAAAGTCTCAACAGCACTGTGAGATTTGGACAGGCTAGGCTGCAGTTGCGTTTTAACTCAAAACAATTGCCACGAATCAGGTCAGAGAAAAGGTAGGCAACAAAACAGAGGCTAGGACGCAACAGATGCTACCTGGTTACTTTGGGAAAACTTAATGAACAAATGATGTTGAGATGCAAGACAAAGGGTGGAATGCAATGTTGCACTGAGGAGGTTGTGTCATCAGTGCAAACGTTTCTGCTTGCAAGGTGGAATTATTATTATTAATATTATTTATTGGATTTATATATCGCCCTATACCCAAAGGACGTGGGTGGTGCTGCGGGTTAAAGCACAGAGCCTAGGACTTGCCGATCAGAAGGTCGGCGGTTCGAATCCCTGAGACGGGGTGAGCTCCCGTTGCTCTGCCCCAGCTCCTGCCAACCTAGCAGTTCGAAAGCACGTCAAAGTGCAAGTAGATAAATAGGTACCGCTCTGGCAGGAAGGTAAATGGTGTTTCGGTGCGCTGCTCTGGTTCACCAAAAGTGACTTAGTCATGCTGGCCACATGACCCAGAAGCTGTACACCGGCTCCCTTGACCAATAAAGCGAGATGAGCGCCGCAACCCCAGAGTTGGCCACGACTGGACCTAATGGTCAGGGGTCCCCTTTACCCTTTATACCCAAAAAGGTCTCAGGGCGGTATCGCCTTCCTCCTCCCTGTGTGCTGTTCTGGAGGTTCTCCAAGCAGATTTGAGGAGGGTACAGAGGTACACAGGGAGATTTTTTGCGGGGGAATGAAGCCCCATTGCACTAGCAGGAATCCTTGCTCTGGCTTATGCAAGCACAACAACTTTATTGAATCCTGCACTAACCATCTAATTACACACAAACAGGGGTGTGTGTAGGGTTTTGGAAACTAAGGAATTCTTGTTCTCTAGAGGTCCATTAAATTCCTTCTGGGAATGTTGAAAGACTTTCCTATTTGGATTGGCATTCAGCAGCTGAAGGTGAGGTAAATCACTCGTGATCAAATATACACATATATTTGTATTATTGGGTATGCCCTCCATCCCCGCAAAAAAAAGAGTTCTTAACCTGTCCTGAGCCCATGGGGGGGAATATTTATTAAGATTGTCAGCAGGATAGGCCAGCTCCTGAGACAAGGTGAGGCGACCACCTCAGATGGCGACATCCACAGGGGCAGCAGATCTCAATGTAGATCTTTATTCCTCACTTGTTGCTGATGTAGACCTTCACTTGCCGCTTCTTCCCTCACAGGGAGGGCGGACGCCATTTTGTGGTCTCCCTCAGGTGCCAAAATGTCTTAAGCCGGCCCTGACTCTCAGTATACCCACAAGCATGTCTTGGCAGAGTGGGGGATAAATTCACCTTTTGCGTATTTCGTTTTTAGGGAAGTTTTTAATGTTTAGTAGACTATTGTATTTTAATATTCTGTTGGAAGCCGCCCAGAGTGGCTGAGGAAACCCAGCCAGATGGGTGGGGTATAAATTATTATTATTATTATTATTATTATTATTATTATTATTATTATTATTATTCCCCATGGAAACCCTGTTCCTTGCTGCAGACTCTGCAGTCTACTGATTATGAGTAGAAAAAGCAGCTGAAATTCCTTTTCTCTGGCTATGTCAGATGTGGCTCCTTCCTTTTGACCCTGAAAATCTCAGCTCTCCATGAAAATGCTCCATACATGCTAAAGTGTGCTGATCTCAGTAGTCTCAGCAGACTTCAGATTCCGACAGGATTTTAAAGCCTTGTCTCAGCACAGCAAGATCCCTGTCTAGGCAACGGTATCCCTGTATAGTGACTCCCTCTGTCGGCAGCTGAGCTGTCAAAGCACACACAGAGTTTTTGGTCCTGGTGGAAGGGGAAGAGAAGTCATTGAAAGGATTTGAGGAAGAGCAAGTTGAATGGTTTGAACAATGGAGAGATATGAATGGTTTTGATGGCAGAATTGTGCCTAGAGGTAGAAAGACTGGGGTGTAAAAAAAAAAGGAGGTCAGAGAAGTCTAGCGAGGACTGGAATAATATCCCCTATTTCCAACTTGCTTGCAAAATCAAAAGAAGCAACTGCAGAATAAAAGTGGGGGAAGGGTTAAGAACCACTCTTTCCATCTGTTTTGAAGGGGAAACCTGTTCAATGCCCATGGCTTACTCTGCACCATTTTCCAAGAGGGAGAACATTTTAGTAAATAGCAGTGTCCTGACCTCCCCTCTGTTGAATTACAGATTTGGTGTAGGAAATTTAATCATTGGCTTTGCCTAAATTTAAACCCCACTGGTCTACTACCCTTAGTATTGCAAGGTTGTCATGAGAGCGCTTAGACTAAAATTGTCAACCAAAATCTTTACTTTCCTGGTATATCACCACAACAGTTATTAACATTGGGCTTCAGGAAAGCAAATAATTTAATTAGGCAGCAATTTAATTAGATATCAAGCGACAGAATAATCTGGCCGCAGTAAGGAAATTTTGTCTGTGGTATGATTATTTTCCAACTAGTCATTTTGACACTTCGGCACCCTATTTGCAAAATTTAACAATTCCAAAATACAGACACACTTTCACTTTCCCCAGATAGAATATACTGCCTTTGGCTCTACTTGAGGGTTGATTTCAAAAAATTCCACCAGAAAAGCTGCTATGTCCCTGTGGAGATGGCAGTATTGAGTCCGTGGCTCATGTGCTTCTGGCTTGCACTCTTTATAAAAATTTGAGGAGGGGGGTTATTGCCCCTCTATTATTGTCGCTAAACCATTGCTACTGTGTCCTTTCTTTTAGCAGATCAAGGTGATCAGGAGACAGCAAAAATTGCAAGCTTTTTAGTGGGGGCAATTAAAATATGATCTATTATTTGATTATTGATGTAAACCCCCGAAATGTACTTTCTATAGTTAAGTTTTTACCTCTATCTTCAGTACATTTTATTTTATTTTATTGCTAGAGCTAGTGGCTGATGTAAATAAAGATTCTGAATTCTGAAAGAGCAGTGTGGTGTCAGGAGAAAAAGGGGTAACCAAGGGACAGGGGGAGTTGGAGTTTATGAGAGTAAAATGCCTCTCAGAGACATGGGAGAAGGATGACCAGCTATGCAGGCCAAAAGAATACAGCCCCAGAATACTGAAATTGTAGACACATGTCGTGTGCACTTGGCTTGGAGACAAATCATATCTCAAGGCAAATCTGGGTGAAGATGCACAACTCCAGACTCTCCAAGTGTCCCTGTTTTCCAGGGACAGTCCTAGATTTACAGAAGCCATCCCAGTTTCTGATTTGATCCTGGAGTGTCTTGCTTTTCCTTAGGATGTCCCTGTTTTCATCAGAGGGTATGGAGTTATCCGACCCCTGAGCCATCTGAAGGCAGCCCTGTATAGGGAAGTTTTTTAATGTTTTGTTGTGTTTTTATATGTGTTGGAAGCTTCCCAGAGTGACTAGAGCAATCCAGTCAGATGGGTGGGTAATAAATAGTAAAATAATAATCATCATCATAATCATAATCATAATAATTTAAAAGGTAAAGGGACCCCTGACCATTAGGTCCAGTCGTGACTGACTCTGGGGTTGCGGCGCTCATCTCGCTTTATTGGCCGAGGGAGCCGGCGTACAGCTTCTGGGTCATGTGGCCAGCATGACTAAGCCGCTTCTGGCGAACCAGAGCAGCGCACGGAAATGCCGTTTACCTTCTCGCCAGAGTGGTACCTATTTATCTACTTGCACTTTGATGTGCTTTCAAACTGCTAGGTTGGCAGGAGCAGGGACTGAGCAACGGGAGCTCACCCCGTTTCGGGGATTTGAACCGCCGACCTTCTGATCGGCAAGTCCTAGGCTCTGTGGTTTAACCCACAGCGCCACCCGCGTCCCTTTATTATTATTTAGGACATCCTTATTTTCATTGGCAAAATGTTGGAGTGTATGCAGCACTATCCTTTCCACTCCTCTTAGCTAAAAGGAAAGGTGGGGCCACAGCAGCCAGGAGCCACTGCAGAGATCACTTCCTCTGCCAGAGGAGAAGAATGGAACTGGATAGGCTCCCTCTCTTTCTTAGAAAGACAGAATTAGAGGTAGCGCCACTGCAAAGAACATTGTCTTTACTCGTCAAAAGCCCTTGGGCCAGTGTGGGCTATCAGTTGCATAAACTAAGCAAAAAGGGATTTAGTCCCAGCAAAACTTGCAGAAGAAGCTCAGTGCAGATACACACCAGTCCATTGGGCTAGACCTCAAAAACTTCTCTTCCCAACAGGAGAGCCAGAATCCATAGATCTTCCCTATGCCTTAGCTTGGCAGAAGAGAGGCTGACTCTGGTTAGCTCCTGACCCATGGCCAGGATTTGTTGGGGGTGGGCAGGACACCCACCTGCCATCATCCCATGTCTTGCTCTGTCTAGCAGATTTGGAATGAAATGTCTCAACAACAGTTGCTTTAAATTACTTTCTTTTCTGACCCCAAGCGCTCAGAAAAATCTGTCAAAATATCCAGTCACTTGAAAACTAGGAAGTCAAATAAAAAATTAACACCGGGGAGTCCCTTTCATGTATTTAACAGGTATATTTTGCAAAATTACAAAGAACACACCTTTTTCATCTTTTTAAAAAATCTAAACAAGTTTTCTTGGATTTGCTGAAAATCTTTTCAGTACTTCCTTTTCAAATTACCGGTACTCCTTTTTTCCCCCCAATGCAGTTTTTCAGTAAGCACAGCCCGTTGAGATGCTCCCCTGTCATTGTCTACCTTAGCCGGGTCATTACTTTCCGCAAGAAGAATCACTAGAATATTCTGATTATTTCTACTTTTAGTTAAGGTTTTTTATTTATTTACTTGATTCAGGAGGGGCAGCATCCCTCCTGCCCCCCCGCCCCCCGCTATGCCCATGCTGCTGACTGCTGTGTCTGTTTCTCTGTAACTTGTGCCTCCCTCTCTCTCACCACCTCATCCCCAATCTCCAGGATCATCAACAGAGACGCCCAAGGGCTGCTCAAGTCCCCTGTGCCCTTTCTCCTCGGACACAGCCTCTCCAGGGACGGCATGGATTCGTTCAGCAGGCATTTTGAGAGCATCATGGAGTCTCACCGAGCCAAAGGGACCTCTTACACCAGCCTCGACTCCATTGACATCCTGTCCTCCCCGGCCCAAACGCACAGCGGAACGTACTTCACCTTCGACCTCCCAACTCTCACCCCGGAAGTACAAGAGCAAATTCGAGACAGTGCCAAGCTCATTGAGCAGAACTTCGCCCCCCTGGCCCACCTGGAGCCAGACTCTGGGACAAGCTCCGCCACGGATGCCCCCTGGACCGAGCGAGAGGAGGAGCCGAGACAAGGCGGGGAAGGCAGCCTGCAGAGTCCCTGTCACTCCGATGACAGCCTAGGAATTCCCCTGGCCTCCATCATAAGGTGAGTGAATGAAGCTAATTCTATCCAGGGGGTATATGAGATAACATCGTCGGGTGCTTCAGGATCCCAGCTGACCTTTTATTTTACCTGTGGACTCTGCAACAACTCTCCCATCTCACAAGCTGGCAAGGATGATGAAGGGATGTGTGTGTGGCCACCACGACCCTTCCTCTCAGACCTTTAGAAAATGATCTTTAGGCACCTGACGGATGCTGTCTTACAATGGGGCGTATGGCTCTTTGCCAGAGTTCTGTGGTGCATTTTCAAAGCCTTGTGAAAGCTGCTGTTTTGACAGGTTTTTAAAGCCCTATGAAAAACACAGTCATCCGCTGTTTCACAGTGAGGGTTTCCCCCCATGCAAGCTTGGCTCAATTGTTCACCTGAGCTGATGTTTCCTTGATGCTCTTTATTATATGCTTTTGAAAGGATCTTGTCCGCATTGTTCACCTGCCAAGTTCTTCCTATGCGTTTTACTTTTCGAAATCTCTTACTGTGTGCCTAGATGATGACGACGACAAGGGTGATGATTATAAATTCCCGCTCTGTGGACAGTGAGAGGGGCCTGAGTTTCGCAATGATCCTAAGGCAGCTATAGGCAAACTACGCCCTCCAGATGTTTTGGGACTACAACTCCCACCATCCCTAGCTAACAGGACCAGTGGTCAGGGATGATGGGAATTGTAGTCTCAAAACATCTGGAGGGCCGCGTTTGCCTGTGCCTGTCCTAAGGTGTGTGGCTTGTGCAGAATTGCAAAGCCAGTGGTGGCGGCAGGCAGTGATGGCTGATGCCCATTGGGACTTGGTAGGGCAGAAGAGAGGGAGACAAATAGTAGTTAGAGCTGCAGGCAAGGATAGGCGGAGCCAGAGCCAATCACAGGCAGAGCCAACTAATTCTAGAATCATAGAATCGTAGAATTTGAAGGGACCCCTAGGGTCATCTAGTCCAACCCCCTACAATGCAGGAATCTCAGCTAAAGCATCCATGACAGATGGCCATCCAACATCTGCTTAAAAACCTCCAAGGAAGGGAAGTCCACCACCTTCCAAGGGAGATCATTCCACCGTCAAACAGCTCTTACTGTCAGAAAGATTTCCCTGATGTTTAGTTGGAATCTCCTTTCTTGTAAGTTGAAGCCATTGGTTCGGTTCCTACCCTCCAGAGCAGGAGAAAACAAGCTTGCTCCCTCTTCCATGTGACAGCCCTTTAGATCTTAGTCTCCTCTTTTCCAGGATAAACATACCCACCTCCCTCAGCCGTTCCTCATAAGGCTTGTTTTCCAGACCCTTTGCCATCTTGGTTGTCTCCTCTGCACATGTTCCAGCTTGTCAATATCCTAATTAAATTGTGGTGCCCAGAACTGGACACAGGACTCCAGGTGCGGTCTGACCAAGGCAGAATAGAGCGGGACGTTTACAGGATCGGGACACTATACTTCTGTCGATTCAGCCTAGACTAAGGCTGGTGGGGCAGTGCCAGGCTTTCCCAGCAATGTTCATTGAAAAGGCTCAGAGCTTCTGCCTCTCTGTGATTTAGTGGCCAATGCTCTCCTATCAGAACATACTGCTCTCACAAGACATATGGTTTGCAAGACTCATGAATGTGACAGTTTTCTGTGCCCCCTAATGAAGAAGAAGAAGAAGAAGAAGAAGAAGAAGAAGAAGAAGAGGAGGAGGAGTTTGGATTTGATATCCCACCTTTCACTCCTTTTAAGGAGTCTCAAAGCGGCTAACATTCTCCTTTCCCTTCCTCCTCCACAACAAACACTCTGTGAGGTGAGTGGGGCTGAGAGACTTCAAAGAAGTGTGACTGGCCCAAGGTCACCCAGCAGCTGCAGGTGGAGGAGCGGAGACGCGAACCCGGTTCCCCAGATTACGAGACTACCGCTCTTAACCACTACACCACACTGGCACAGCAGTATGATTTGAATATAAATCTTTTGTTCAGAGACACTCTTAGGTGCTAACAAATTGAGCTGGTTTCCTGTTGCAAAAAAAATTCTTTTTCAGCAGTACTTGTCCACATTGGAATATAATGCGGATTCGAATTTCCTTGTGCAAAGAATTGTGATCTCACATAATTTGTGTGTGTGAACATTCAGGGCAAGATTGGTCTGATGTGCAGATGAGGAGCGAGGTGTATCATCTTGGGAATGTGAAAATCTATAAATTGCAACTGTCTTTGAGATGCCAGCCAAGAAGTTGATTGTCGGTCCTCCATCCATTTCCCCCATTTCCCATGCAATTATTTCTTTTCCCCAGTAGGTGGCATCTGCCACTTACTGTACTGAATTTCCTTGCTTTGGGGCAAAGAGAGAGAGAGATGATGAAGATCAGGGTTTAGCTAACTGCAGCTGCAGCTTTAGGATGAGTTCCTTCTCTCATGCAGACTGCAGAATATTCTTCAAGGGAGATGTCTGTGCAGTTTGGAGAAAAGAACTGAATTGCCCAAAAGCAGCAAGGAAAGCAAATGGACCAAAGGGAGGACGTTTTCTTTCTCTGGCTTAAATTTAAATCTGAGCCAGAGGAGAACTTTAGGGGTTGCAGTGCTTACCTTTTATTTGAGGTGAGCATTCTGAGCCATGGATACACATATTTCCAAGCCGCAGAATATGAATGCCGGCGATATTCCCAGCTACCACATAGCGCTCCATCCCATAATGACAAGATCATAGATGTAGTTAGAGCAGTGTTTCCCAAACTTGGGTCTCCAGCTGTTTTTGGACTTTGTTGTTTAGTCGTTTAGTCATGTCCGACTCTTCGTGACCCCCTGGGCCAGAGCACACCAGGCACTCCTGTCTTCCACTCCCTCCCGCAGTTTGGTCAAACTCATGCTGGTAGCTTTGAGAACACTGTCCAACCATCTCGTCCTCTGTCGCCCCCTTCTCCTTGTGCCCTCCATCTTTCCCAACATGAGGGTCTTTTCCAGGGAGTCTTCTCTTCTCATGAGGTGGCCAAAGTATTGGAGCCTCAGCTTCAGGATCTGTCCTTCCAGTGAGCACTCAGGGCTGATTTCCTTCAGAATGGATAGGTTTGATCTTCTTGCAGTCCATGGGACTCTCAAGAGTCTCCTCCAGCACCAGAATTCAAAAGCATCAATTCTTCGGCGATCAGCCTTCTTTATGGTCCAGCTCTCACTTCCATACATCACTACTAGGAAAACCATAGCTTTAACCATATGGACCTTTGTTGGCAAGGTGATGTCTCTGCTTTTTAAGATGCTGTCTAGGTTTGTCATTGCTTTTCTCCCAAGAAGCAGGCGTCTTTTAATTTCCCATCATCCCTAGCTAGCAGGACTAGTGGTCAGGGGTGATGGAAACTGTAGCCCAAAAACAGCTAGAGACCCAAGTTTGGGAAATACTGGGCTAGAACCTCTTTCAGGTACGTTTTGTGTGACTGCGTGCCTGAGCAGAGCCTGAGCCTTTGCTCTTTCAGGACATGTGGAGCGACATTCTCTTCACAAAGGCCTCTGTACATGTTCAGAGACCCTTAGCTCTAAGTGCCAGCATTTTTGTGAAAGGAAGGTGTCAACCCGGAACAGAGGCCAGCCTGCCAGATGTTTCAGCTGGAAGGGACCAGACTGAGAGGAAAGATAAGAGCCCTCTTCAAATACCTCAAGGCTGTCACATGGAAGGGGAAACAAGCTTGTTTTCTCCTGCTCTGGAGGGCAGGACTCGAACCAGTGGCTTCAAGATACAAGAAAGGAAAGTCCAAATAAACATCAGGAAGAACTTTCTGACAGTAAGAGCTGTTTGACAGTGAACGGTCTCCCTCGGGAGGTTGCGAGCTCTCCTTCCTCGGAGGTTTTGAAGCAGAGGTTGGGTGGCCATCTGTCATGGATGCTTTAGCTGAGATTCCTGCATTGCAGGGGTTGGACTGGATGACCTTAGGGGTCACTTCTGACTCTGCAATTCTATGATCATGCTGACTGGAGCTGGAGGGAGCTCAAGCCATTGCCCAGAACATTTGCAGGCTAGCAGCTTGGCACTGGATCTCGTTTCTTCAGCCTGCCGTTCTCTCCTGAGGGTGATGTATCACTTGTTTTTCAAGCAGCGCATTGATCATGCTCACAGTGTTATGGGAATCTTACCTCTGCCGGCCAAGAGATCTTACAGCGTCCTCTTCCCTGCATTTATGGATTCTAGTCTGTTTTCTAACATGCAGACGTGCTTCTCCCTTTTCCAAGGTGCGAGGAAGCAAGCAGGGAATTCCTTTGGAGGGAGTCTGCTTCCCTGCGGTTGCACAGTCTCCGCAAAGGGAGATTCATTCAGCCGTGCTTTTTCGAAGAGCGGCAGATGTCTGCACAGATAAAAAAACCACAATAGTTCTTTTAAAACTGAAGAGTCATATTTTCCCCTATTTATTTTTTTTCTATTTAAAATGTTATTTAGAAATCAGTCAGACTAAATGTCCCTTTAAAACAATCGGGCTTGAAATAAAGTTCGGATGTTATGTGGGCATGTGAAAGTACCGTATTTTTTGCTCTATAAGACTTACTTTCTCCCTCCTAAAAAGTAAGGGGAGATGTGTGTGCGTCTTATGGAGCGAATGCAGGCTGCGCAGCTATCCCAGAAGCCAGAACAGCAAGAGGGATTGCTGCTTTCACTGCGTAGCCATCCCTCTTGCTGTTCTGGCTTCTGAGATTCAGAATATTCTTTTTCTTGTTTTCCTCCCCCAAAGACTAGGTGCGTCTTGTGGTCTGGTGCGTCTTATAGAGCGAAAAATATGGTACTCAGATGCCCAGTTCTCACCTGAGAAGAAGCACTTTCATTGAATGCATGGAGTGCGCAGAATGGGATTGTGTCCACCAGCCTGGGACCCCAAAAGAGAAGAGGGGAAAAGGATCCCTTTCCCTTTCTGACTTCCACAAGCTCACTTTTCTCTAAGAAGCCTGAAGAGGAGCTAAAGGCTTTTATCCCAGGATGGCTGGAACCCTGGAGAGGAGCACTCCTCTTAAGCACAGAGAGATACTTCGACATTTTGTTGCAGTGTGTGGAATATTT